GAGGCAGCTGGCGCGGGCGAGCCGGGGCCGGGCAGCCCTCTCCCGGCAGGCAGGTAAGGGGCCGGGGCCGGGCGCCTCCGGGGCTTGGGGCTGCTCCAACGGCCCTCGCCGCTGCGGCTCTGCGATTTCAGCAGCGGTCGGTAGGGCCGGGATCGCCGGCAGCGAGGAGCGGCGCAGTCGCCGGGGGCTGGAGCTTGCCGGGCTCCGAGCAGGGTCTGCGCCAGCTCTCCGACGGTGGGGCTGGAAGGTGGTTTCTCCGTGCGCCTGGCCTGGAGGAGTCACCCGAACTGCCTGACGGGCGACTGCAGTCTACTAATGCTCGCTGTTAATTTAGAGTGATAGAACTGTTAGGGCTGGACTGCATGCGTGCTCAGGGATGTACTCGGCTTCTGCTATCTGGGAGGTAAATAGCCCCTGAGAGCGGTGCCCTGACCTTGGTATCAGCCCTGCTGCATGGCACCTCACAGCTTTATCGCTCCGTTAGTCACATGCGAGCTTCTGCTATCTTCAGCTGGAAGGGTTGGTCCCGTGGGGGATTAACAGCCACATCCTTCCCTGGTGTATTTAGCCAGTGTGCCACACTTCAGTCTGCAAGGTGTTGCACCAGCCTTGCTGGGATCACCAGCTTGCAGCGTGACATCTGCTTTTGCTTTGGTGTAGGCTGCGTGTTGGGGTCTGCTAGCTAGTGAATGAATGTGGTACTGCATTTTCCAAATAGCAGGTTGTGAGTTTTGTGTGTTACAATAGGTAACGGGAAGGCAGAAGTACTTTTGTATTAAATAGGTGGGGAAAATCTCAGGTTTAAGTATTCATGTTCTTTGTGGTCAATCATTCTGTCATTCCCTCAAAACACACAGGTATACTATTTAAATACTACTCTCTTTTTCTTCATTCTCATCCTTTATGCCCTAACCTACAAAGGTTGAAATGTTTTGATGCAGAAGACTAAATATATATCTAAAAGCCAAATCTATACATCCAAGATTTTATTGCTAAGTCTCTGTCCCTTAGTAATGCTCTGTTAGTTAAGCAAACCTGCAAGCAGTCCGTGGTACTGCATGGGAGCTGTGCTAACTTCTGCTTCCACTGACCTACTGTCACTGCGGTCTCCTCTGCAAGTCCTGGGACCAACAGCAGCCTGATCCTGCTCCATGTCAGTAGCTCTAGAGCCACGTTCAAGGTGTGATAGTTCAAGTGTGGGTGCCCTGTCAGTCCCTGCCCGTGCGACACAGCTCTGGCACGGGATACGGATAGCAGCGGGCTGCTGGTGCTAAGCAATGTAGTTGAAATGGCATCTGTTCCAGGCTGATATGTCAGTACTCCACCCAAAGCAATCAATTTCAATTTCACCCTCCCTCCAGTAAGCTTGTTGGGAGGACTTTTATTCTTACCATGAAAGTGGTAAAGTGGTGAGGTGGTGTGGTGTGGCTGTATGGGCTGACATAACAAGAACTAGCACTATACAGCGGTGTCCTCTTTCACGTTTTTGTGAAAAAGCCTCTAATTGTGACTTGTATAGTCCATAGATTCTGTATGTTGATTGTAGAATAGAACCCTAATGTACTAACATGTTACACTGCATTTTAATGTAGCTGTATTTTGTCTGAAAAAGAAGTGTTTAGTTCATGTGAAATTATTTGTCCAACAATTTGAAAACTGCATATAAGAATTTTGAAGAGTTAGGAGAAACCTGTGACAAAACTGGGGCTCTTTTCTTCTGACTGGTTCCCCCCAGCCATTTCCTAGCTTCTTAGTTGATTTGCTAGAATATTGTGAATAGCTTTTGTTTTCCCTCAGGGTCATCTAAATGCTGCTTGTGCAAATAGTAATGAGATGACAATATCCTAACAGGAAGTTAAGCTAGAAATTACAAACAGAACAATGCCCCTTTTTTAGTTCAACAACATCGTGTATCTTTAAAACCCTGTTTATCATCTGAAATGACCATATGTGTAGTTTTCATAAGCTTTTCCAATTGAACCTGTGAATGAGACTCCTGTAACTGATACTACTCATTAAAGTATAATTTGAAATTTGCATTTAAACTGGATAGGTATCCATTGCAAGTAAAGAATAAGCAAAGCTTGCTTTTAAGGCAAAACGTTAGAACTGTTCTAGTAGACAGTATCTCATGCCTCTAATAGACCTGCTGTGGTAGGCTGCCTTTCCCCTGAAAGTAGAAAACTAATCCAAACAGGTACTCAAAAACTGCTTCCTTGTTCTTGTAACCAGACGTTTCCTTCAAATACAAGTAGCTGGTAATGTTGGTGAATAGACAGACTTAAGAAACTTGTTTTGCAAAGCAAGATTTAGTCCTGCTATATGCAAAGAATGTGACAGTCTGTAGTTTGGAAATTTAGTCACAAGACTGACTTGCACTCACACGAACTGATTCTTGCCTTAGCCTTTTTTTCCCTTTAATGGTCAGACTAGGTAATGTCTTTCAAGTGTTAAAGAAATAATGCAGAGTTCTGTTCACGGTTTCTTATTCTTGATAATCTTTCCTCTCTCTGCCAGGTATACTGTTCTTACTCTTCAGTTCCCTATTTCTAATTTTAGTAGTTATATATCCTTGATTGTTCCTCTTTACCCAGTGCTCATAGTTTTCCCAATGGATTAAGTTTGCAATTTGTGGTCAGAGTTAAGAAAATAAAAGCAACAAAGCAGCAAACAAAAAGAGACTTGCTCTCAAGGGATTCTCTGGGGAAGGGATTAGATAATGCAAAATCACTGTGATATGTACTTCAGTCCATAAGAATTGTGATCCCATGGGGCCTTTTGGGTGGAAGAGCAGGGATTTATGTGGTAGATTAGGGAGAGGACTATGAATTTCACAGAATTAATGAAGTATCTGAACTTTCATCCACTGCCATTAAGCAAAAACTCTGAAGTGTGTGCCACATCTTTACGACACTTTACTGGACACTAAAATTTAACTATATGTTATAACGATGTTTTGAATGTTTCAGGAGCGTGTTTATAATAAGGGCATCTAAACTCAGGTGAAGAAGTAGAACCCTGCTTGAGACGCTGCAAACAGGAAGTAGTTGGCAGTCCTTCTCCAGAAGCCTTTAAGCAGCCACAGGTGATAGAAGGGATTTAACTTGCAAACAAAGTGAACAGGATGAAAATATTGTAATCTTATTATATTGGGGGGGGGAGGAGATTAAAAGAGGAATGTTAAATGGAAAGGGCAAGGCAAACAAGTGAGTAGGTGTAAAAAAATGGATAAAGAGCAAATAAGGAGTAGAGTTCATGATGCTGAAGCAGTAGCCGGAGGCAATGGGAGCAGCCAGCTGAGGGCAAAGATAGTCTTGACAGTAGGATGTTCCCCTGTGTCAGCCAGACACTATTCTGCCTGCTTCTGCCAGCCTGCCTTGCTACTCTGCACCTCACTCTCACCAAGAAGGGCTGGGGGGACAGGGAGGATGGGATCTGAATTCTGGTAGGTAGCATTGCACTACAGGACTAGGAAATACCTTCCTTTGTGAGCTCGGGATCCAAGAAGCTGTTGGGAGAGACAGCAGCATTGCGACTGTAATGGGGATGCTGTCACTCTCTCCTCTCCCTTTCCAATTTGGTTGTCTGTCCTTTGCCTATACAGTAGTAAGCAGATGAGTCTTTAGTGCTACCACATGTCATCTTTTGCAGCAGAGGTACAATTTACATTGCTGAAATTGGTTGAAGGTCTAAAATAACAAAATTGACGTTGGCTCCTGTAACTGACCCTGCTGACATCAATAAAAACACAATGGAAGGCCAGTAAGAGGTGGCCTTTGTCAGTTCAAACTGGGTACTTTGGCAATATGCGTAAGAGGTAAGTGACTTTCACTTCCGTGTATGATTCACGCTTGTCTCATTACTAATATGTCAATTAAAGATCAGGTTTTCTTGAGTGTACTGTTTGATTAGCACAATTCACAGGCTCTTTAGATTTTCTGAGAGGCTTTCCTGGTTTGTTGCAGCAGTGCTGAAGCTGTTGGGATTGAGATAGTGGAAGAGTAGTGGTCAGTACTGGAACCTAGTTGCTGATGCAGCATGTAATCTAGTTTTAACTCTGGTCTCTCTCAAACTCACTTTTGGCTTTCAGAAATCAATCTGATTTTTTTCAGCATGAAGCTGTGTGGAACATGTTAAACAGCACAGGGATTAATGAATAAAAATAACTTAGGTAACAGTGAAGCCCTGTCCAGTCGTACCCTACAAAACTAAAAGATCCGTAAGGAAATAGAGCACATTCAACCTTCTGAATCAGTTCTTCCATGAGTTCTATTCCCTTCATTCAACACTATTAAGTCAACTATGATGTAGTTCTGGGACTTACTGTTTCCATTCCTCTTCAAGATTTGTGTAAGTATAATTTACTCTATGTAATCCTTTTTACTGAGGGATTGCAGGTAAAGGACTTGAAGGTCTAAGTGGTTTTCCTGAAACTTGATACCAGGACAAAGTGCTGTTTTAGCAAGACATTCATGTTTGTTTGATTTATATTCTAAATGAGGATTAGTGTCTACAGCAGTGAATTACCTGTACAGGAATGGATAAAACTAACCTGGAATATTTTGTCGAGGCTGTTGGTCTGTGATGTGAAGGCAGTTATTTTTCTGGGAAATGATCCAGAAGAATGAGCCTGCACTGCTTGGAGTTTCCTGTTCTATGTCATTATACTGTGTGTCGAATGATTTAAGCGGAAAACACCCACTCTCCACTTATCCTGTAACTTATTTACATATCGATGATTATTAAATCCACTGATCTTAAACCCTTCTGTTCTTAAGAGGAGGAACACAAGATTTGTCTAATTGCTTGCCAAAATCCAAAGTGTTGTCCAACAAATGGACACCACTCTGCAAAGAGAAGATTTGTCAAGCTCCTGCTTTTTATCTTTCTTTCACAAATGACCTCTGTTCTCCAGCTATTTATTTTTTTTCCTGCTGGAAAATAACTTTTTAAAGGGAAAGCTAAGTCTAAATTTCATAGCTTTTCCTGGAACTATGGTTTACTGCATCCCATCATAGGTCAAAAAGAAGAACGAGGTGGTTTAGCTTGAGCATTACCTGCTTCAGGTTCTTTCCAAGGAACTGTGACTGGTCAGAAACTTACAAACTGCCAGTCCATCAAACCCCAAACCAAACCTATAATGTAGGCATCTGATTTGATAAGAAGAGTTTCTCATGATCTTTGGGCTTGAGATGGAGGAAGTGGGTGGATTGGTGTGCCGCCTGTACACCATTGGCATGCTACCTGTACACCATTGGTGTGCCACCCGTACACCCTGAGCATGTATGCTCATACGCACCTCCATCCCACCTGAGAGCATTTATGGACCGGGTAGCATAGTAATCTTTGAGTGACTGCAGCCTCAGTCAGGAAACATATGGGTTATCCATGTTCATGTTCTTGCTCGCTCCAAATGCCTCAAGGTTTGGGATCTAATGCTCTCAGGTAGCAAGAGGGAAATCTCTAGTTTTTTCAGGAACAAAATGCAAAGATTTGAATTTGCCTCAGTGTACCTGGGGAATTTATTTAAAACCCTTAAAACTTTGGGAGTGGAGAAAAAAGAGAGTGGCTTCAGATGCTGGGTTCAGTGGTAGACTGTTAATGTCACTGTGGATTTTCACAGAAATCCTGGCATAAAGCGCATCTTAAGACTCAAAGGAAATAAAGTGGATAATGATGGAACCAACAGACAGTCTGTCTTGGGCTTATTTGAGTGTCTTAGCAAGCCTTTATGGATATGCCTAGAGGTCTTTAAAATGAGTAAGAGAAAGAAGTGGATTTATTTTTTAGTCAGACTGTTCTGTTTCTTCTGCTTGGTTGCACTTCAGCAAGTTGGTTGATAGACCTGGTGGTTACTTCCTACCAGCTCGCTTCTGGGTAATGCTGACATTTCCATCAAAATACCCGTTCTCTCTACAGTTTGAATGAAGACCAGGCAAGCTGACGAGCTGTTTAGCTCAGTGGTCAGTTTTCCAGCTGCCTTGCTGGCAGGCTTCCCAGCTTTCTGGATGGCTGAGTCTGAGTGAGTTGGGTTCCTGGGAAACCGGTTAAAAAATAGAAAAATGTAATTTTGCACACTCTTCAAAGAGAACTATCTGAGAATTTTCTTCCCCTGAGAAGGTAATCTTTTCCTCTTCAGCTTTTCATTACAGT